GCAATGTTGCATGTCCACCGATGTCCAGATATTGTCACAGTCGAAAAAATTGGTCGTTTTCTTCATGGAAAATTAAACTTTATATTAAAGAATACAAGACTGGATCTCTTTTCTGTAAATAAAACTAAAAAGCTGACATGGGTTAAATTAAAGTGAGACAACCAATCTCCCGGAATCAAATCATTTAAAAAGAAAAATCATGTATTGCCATACGACCTTTTACATTGAAGGGCTAAACTTGCATTAAGCCGTGTCCAGGCCCTTAAATAGAAAATAAAGGGATATGGAGTAAATGTGCATGGAACAAAATCGCACACACTACATAGAAAAGTACAAATTATCAATGAACAGGGTTTTTTATTCCTGTTCTTCATCTTGACAGTCGCTTGAGGGTCTTCAACAATGAAATAATCATTCATACCCTACAACAAGGTCAAGACGGCCCCTAGCGTCGACTTAAGCGGTACTTAAAGTATTGTACTGTGAATAAATTTCAAAGTCACAAAAAATACACCAAAATCTAAACACAATACCCTGAGTGTACCCTTTTATCCCAGTTAGGAACTACATCAAGTTGTAATTGAAATGCGTTATAAAATCTGAATTCACATAGTTAGATAAATGATAATCAGCCCCCGCTTAACTTGATTTGAAAAACACATAATTGACAGGTATAATACGTTTTCTGCAAGCCGAAACTCAATTAAAAAGGAAAAAAAACAGCAGTCACACACTTAATTATGTGAAATACGATTTTTGCTTTATCCTACTTATCGGTCTTTTGATGTTGTCCCTAAAAACTGAGAGTCTTACAATGAATCTATATATTTTGCTTTGAGACCAGAATATTGTCAAAAACATAATTAAAACAAAACTTGCGTTTCAGATTAAGAACGGGTCCGAGAAACGCTCAGAATGCACAATTTTGCGTCATTTTTTTCAGAGCTTCTCGGGGCCTTGAGCGGCCCCCTGACCCTTCGCCGAAATTTTTTTGGCATGAGGATAGTTCCCAGACCCTTGTGAAACCAATAAAGTCACTCGTTTGCTCGGTCTTAGATCGTTAGATACGAGAATATTCGTCTAATCTGTTATTATAACAATTACATACTATACACTATCGTGACATTTTGACAACGTGGATTCACATGGCGGGTGATGCAAACATATCAGTAGACGCTTACCTTGTCGACGTAATCGGTCTCACTAATTTTGGGGTTATTGCGATATCCGCATTTTGTGTGTTGGCTTGATTTGTTTTTTCTTGATTGATTAAAGAGATTTGAATATGGGTCAACAAATGTCATTTTCTCTCCTCATTACACTGTAGTTGCCTGAATGTAAATAAGAGAAAAAATTTTCAGAAGAGCATTGAAAACTTTAGCAACAGTTATAATTGTGGAGCAGGATCTGCTTAGCCTTCCGGGGCATCTGAGATCACCCCTAGTTTTTTATGGGGTTTGTGTTGCTCATTCTTTAGTTTTCTATGTTTCGTTTTGTGTACTGTTGTTTGTCTGTTTTTCTGTTAGTCTTTTTCTTTTTAGCAATGGTGTTGTCAGTTTATTTTTGACTTATGAGTTTGAATGCCTTTTTGGTATTTTTTGCCTCTCTTTTATAATCTGGTGAACAAATCCTGTAAATAAACTTTGGTTAAGTCATCCAGATATTAATAAGACAATACAACGGTATAGATGCAAACGCACATTTACGATGAAAACGAAAACAACACTTTATAAATTTCATGCGTCCGAAGCGCTTTTCTGGATTTACCTTCATCAGGAACGCTCAAAGCAGAATATTTGAAAGCCAAGGATGTATAAGAACCGAAACATTTGAAGAAATTGCCTTAAAAAAAGTCAAATCCATACAAGGTCAACTTTGCCTGAGGGAGTTTAGTTTCTTTCAAATTTCAAATACATGAAAAGGGAATTCGGTGACGGATCTCAACCCTTTATAAAGATGTTAATTGAGAAGTAATTTAAAAATCATTCCGTCATAACCCTAGAACTACTGTAGTAACAATTAACGGTACAAATTTACTAAACCTGATGCAAATTTCGATAAAAATTGTTTCTCCAGTGATGCTTGAGGCGAAAATTTAGAAAATCCAAAAATTAATTCAAACGTTAAAAAGCTCACGAACTCAAAAAGGACTTAAGGTATCGACTTATCTCGTCAAGGCTTCAGAGATACGAATGAGGGAGATATATTCCTTAATTTAAAACTGTTTCAAAAATTTGAGAACTGCAAATTTTAATCAAACGGTATTCGTATTGTTATGACAGTATTGACGTTCTGCTACATGGCTGTAGCAGTCCACCAACAGAGGAATCGACCCAGTGGTAGTAATAACATTAAAAGTGTCAATTTTACTGCAATTAATGTAAATTCAATGAGGTTAGAGGTAAACCAAATTGAATTCAAAAGCCTAGACAAACGTTGAAGAGCTGATGTAAAACGGAAATGACTGTCTTTTAACGTTTTGTCGATATTTTATATGTGTACTTTATACTTTATTTCACTTTAAATTAAAATTGATACGTATTTCTTCACATCATCAGATTTATCCTCAGTCTTTTTTTGTGTCAACAATTTATGTATTTTTAAAGAATAATTTGAATTTCACAATCTACCTTTTCCTGTTTTTATCATGAGTTAGTTCACATGGAAGGACAATGAAAAGGAGTATAAGTAACATCATCTTCTTATCATTATCTTGGTTTTTAATTGATATATTGGAGCATAATAACTAACTGGTTTCCAAACTATAACTCTTAAAATGATCATTTCTAATCGATGGTCAGTTGGAAATAAAATGATAATTTCTAATCGATGGTCCGTTGAAAATAAAATGATAATATCTAATCGATGGTCAGTTGGAAATAAAATGATAATTTCTAATTGATGGCCCGTTGAAAATAAAATGATAAATTCTAATCGATTGTCAGTTGAAAATAAAACGATCATTCTAATCGATTGTTTGTTGAAAATAAAAGGATAATTTCTAATCGATGGCCCGTTGAAAATAAAATAATTAATTTCTAATCGATGGCCGTTGAAAATAAGATAATTAATTTCTAATCGATGGTCAGTTGAAAATAAAATGATAATTTCTAATCGATGGTCCGTTGAAAAAAAAATTATAATTTCTAATCGATGGTCCGTTGAAAATAAAATGATAATATCTAATCGATGGTCAGTTGAAAAATGCTCAAAAACAATCAAAAATAAATGAGAAAAACATTTTTAAGTGCGAAAATGTGAATTTGAATTATTAAGGATCAAGTGGTAAATAGCAGAATCGATATAAAACATGAGACACGGCGCTAAAACATCCACATTATACATAATATCCAAACGGGCGGCTTTAGTTAACTCTTATACAGGTAAATTATGCGCCAACGTAATACGTTATGTCACGCAAACGTGTAGAATTGTTTGCGCAAACGTAGAAATAAATCGTGCAATGTAACGCGCCGATCAAAACATAGAAAAAGATAGGCGCAATATACAAAAGAGATATCTTAACTCATAAGTCGATCATAAACTGACAACTCCATGGCGAAAAAAAAATCGAAAGAACGTAAAGACAAACAAAGGTCTACAAAACACATTATAGACAACTAAAGACTGAGCAACACGAACCACATCAAATACTGGGGGTGGTTTTAGCAAGTCATACGTTGTTATAAAGTCCTTTTTATCTATTTTTGAACAAAATTGTGGATAGCGTTTTCCTAAAAAAAAAACACGAAACAGTCTTAAGACCCAAAGTATTGACATCCAATGTATCCAAATATTTGTCTTTTTTCAGTGTGATATATGCAAAGGGGCGACTTTAAACTTTTTAGACAACGAAGGTTTTTTTAAAAGTAAGGTTTTTAAATACAAACTTGAAAAAGAAATAACCCCTGAAGTTTAATAAACAAAGCGAACCAATTTATATCTGCATAACTACCCTTACTGAAAAAACAGCTACCCGCAAATATATATTGCAAATCTGCTGCAAACTTGCTGCAGACTCCAGCAAACATTTAATGTGTATTTGCAGCAAACTTGCAGCTAACATTGAATGTGCATTTGCAGAAAGCACGGGAAAATTTGTAAATAGAATCTGTATTTACTGCAAACAAATTTACATGCAATTGAGTGTTTGCTGCAGACATATGTATGTGAATATATATATATAGCAATTTAATTACCTAAAATGTGTTACAGATCATCCCTCTTCGGCGTCCGTCCGTTATACGCACCCAAAGGGATTGCGTCCCTAACTTACAGGCACTTGTCTTTGTGAAAATACTTTACATACATTGGTAAGTGATTTGACGATATGTATGTAGATGTGTTCGAGGCAAAAAGTTAAATCACAAAAATACTGAACTCCGAGGAAAATTCAAAACGGAAAGTCCCTTATCAAATGGCAAAATCAATAGCACAAACACATCAAACGAATGGACAACAAGTGGGTGTTCTCAATTTATAAGAATTGTCTGAATTTTGACGTCAAATTTATGGCATTTTAATATGATCAAAATAAGTTTTAAAAATATAATCCCATACGACGGTGTCAAATATCTTTTTTAAATGTAGTACTCGTGAGTATAATAATGCTCAGGATATATATCTCATATGTTTAACAATCAAAGCGAAACAATTATTCAATTATTAAAAGCAAATACCATTCATAACAAACAAAATGAAAATATAATATTATACGCTCGGCTTCATGATTGAAATTTTTAATTTTTTTAAATTAATAGACCTATTGTTTTTCCTTTATCACTTGTAATAAACCGCTTTAAAATACGAACTTAACCTTTTGGGTCACACATATATTTCGATGTTATCAATCCATGCTTTTTGATACATGCTTTTTCATTTAAAATACCTTCCAGACCGCGATATCTATATTGACTTATATGTTAACAAAATTCAAGTAGTTGTGGGTCGAAAAACCTTAACGAAAAAACAATACGTCATAATACATTAAATGAAAACAACTAGTGATACATATAGGTTGTATGATATTAATTTCAAAATCTTATAATTTTAGAACATGCACTCCGAAAACATAGCTCCTTATCTCTCCTATTACGAAGTTCGTGATTTGATTTTATGCCACTAAAAAGTAAGTGTGATTTTTTTATCTGCTTAACAATTATAGGATTGTGTTTGTTTATAGTGAAATTGCTAGTTTTCCGTTTAACCACGAAGCGTGTTCATTACAAAAAAGACGTAGAATCAATTTCACATGTATATGTTTCATTCATAGGATAAAAAAGGATGAATGATACACCGATTTCTAGAATTAGAAACATGTTTTAAGCTCGCAACGCAGTTTGTATTCGTAAGGGTTCTTGTATGCGCCCGAAGCGTTTTTTTTTTTTTTTATTACTTCCATCAGGAACGCTCAAAGCCAACTATTTTAAAGCCAAGGATGTATAAGTACCGAAACACGTGAAGAGTTATATCACCACACGGGACCTAAACATGTAACCCAAATCCATCTGAGATCACTTTTGTGATAAAGCCTATAAAAGTAACGGAATTAATTATTTTTTAGTGTAATACACTCTTTGGAATTCTGATATGAATTGTACTTTTCATGGTCTTTTCGATTCGGTTGACGGTTATGACTTTTCTAGTCTTAACACTACACTTCTACACAATCCAATCAAACAGACGTATTGTTTTTTGCTTGAATGGTCTTTTTACAAATCTGATATATACTTCTTCTTTGATGAAATAAAGGTAAATATGCAAGATAAACTAACTGAAACTATGATGTAATTAAAGCTGTAAATTTTCTCCACATTTATTTTCTTGGGTACCAACTGTGACACTTTATTCGCAAACATATTCCTGTGTTATTATGAATCACAGTTTATATTCATACTGAGTAAAAATCGTTCAAACTGAAAAATTTTATAACACTTACCGTTACTTTGATGATACGTTTGAAAATGCCTGTACCAATTCAGGAATATGACAGTTGTTGTCCATTCGTTTGACGTGTTTTATCATTTGATTTTGCCATTTGATTAGGGACTTTCCGTTTTTAATTTTCCTCGGAGTTCAGTATTTTTGTGATTTTACTTTTTGCTTCAAACAATCAACAAATTCCCTAATTATACCGAGTAAACTTACCCAAAGGAACGCACTTCAAATAAGTCTAACACAGACATCAATAATTGTCTTCTTCTGGATTTGATATTTCTGTTTCACACGGGAAATCTATGCACATATCTACGACAAAAGAGATATTTGTTCGTTCTATATTTATTGTTTTCCTATAATGGCTGTTGGTGTTCATTTGCCCCTTCTATTGATGTGTATATGTCCCAACTTGTTCGCTATGCCCATGCATTGAGTGACGTTTTTAATTTCAATGAACGTCATATATATGTATAACTGGTAAATTATTAAGTCAGGGATTGCGTTACCACAAATTCTTTAAACATTTTTAAAATTATTTCATACGGAAACAAAAGATACAAAGATTTGTTTTGGAGGTTTGGCTGTACTTGTAGAAACCTTATTATAAGTGATTTTGTTGTTTGGTTACCACACTGCCCTATGTTAAGAAAGGGTTACAGACATACTTTAATAACCCAGGAACATAGATATTGATATATAGAGCTTAACCCTGCCACATTCTTTATCCTGATTGAGAGTAGTTTCTCGCAATTTGATTGGCTGATATTGTCCTAATAAATTTCAGCGCAATTTTTTATTAAGTCAATTGGAATTATCTCCCTTATACCATTGACTTAATAAAAAAAAAGATTTGTTTGAGTTGCTTTATAGTCCTAATATTTTTCATTTTTCACAGTTTTAGATTAAATATCTAAATATATTTGGGTGATATTGTCCTAATTATTGAATTTAAATATAATAAGTGGTGATATAACAAAATCAGGATAAATTCGTTACACAGTGTGCAATTGTCCTAATACGGAATTTATCGGGTCAATAAAATTCTCGCATTAGGACAATTGCACACTGTGTAACTAATAGTATATGCCTGTCCAAAGTCATGAGCCTGTAGATCAGTGGTAGTCTTTGTCCAAAGTCATGAGCCTGTAGTTCAGTGGTAGTCTTTATCCAAAGTCAAGAGCCTGTAGTTCAGTGGTAGTCTTTGTCCAAATTCAAGAGCCTGTAGTTCAGTGGTAGTCTTTGTCCAAAGTCAAGAGCCTGTAGTTCAGTGGTAGTCTTTGTCCAAAGTCATGAGCCTTTTGTTCAGTGGTAGTCTTTGTCAAAAGTCATGAGCCTGTAGTTCAGTGGTAGTTTTGTCCAAAGTCATGAGCCTGTAGTTCAGTGGTAGTCTTTGTCCAAAGTCAAGAGCCTGTAGTTCAGTGGTAGTCTTTTGTTAATATCTTACATTTTGAAAAGGGTGTTGGTTATCTCGTTTGAATTGTTTGACATTGTGAAAAGGGCATGGTTATCTCGATGAATAGTTTGACATTTTGAAAAGGGCGTTGGTTATCTCGTTTGAATTGTTTGACATTTTGAAAAGGTCGTTGGTTATCTCGTTTGAATTGTTTGACATATGAAAAGGGCGTTGGTTTTCTCGTTTGAATTGTTTGACATATGAAAAGGGCGTTGGTTATCTCGTTTGAATTGTTTGACATATGAAAAGGGCGTTGGTTATCTCGTTTGAATTGTATACCTCTTTTCATGGTTATTTCATGTATATTGAAGTATTATTTTAGACCTATAAAATATAAATTATCTTCGATAACAGCTCAGGTATTGCATTGGTTACTAGAGAGCATAAACTCGAATATCATAAAAAAAAATCTACGATTTGCAATTCGAACTCGAACACGAACCACAACCAGCATTCTACAGTTTATAATGAATGTCAAACTTTAATTAGAAATTTTACATGACCTTCAATTCGAGTTCGTAAAAATCTGGAAGTTAAACTTGGCATAACTGTTATTGAACTCGAAACATTTTGTATATTTTGACTTGTTTTAAATGTTGATTGCGTATATCAAAGTTTCACTCTTTGTTAACTGAAACCTTCTCGAAATTATATATATCTTTAATTAATTTCAAAAGAAATATGCTAATGTTTAATAGCAATAAGAAGATGTGGTATGAGTGCCAATTAGACAACTCTCCATCCAAGTAACAATGTGTAAAAAGTAAGCTATTATAGGTCAAAGTAAGGCCTTCAACACGGAGCCTTGGCTCACACCGAACAGCAAGCTATAAGGGGCCCCAAAATGACTAGTGTAAAACAATTCAAACAGGAAAACCAACGGTCTAATCTATATAAAAAACGAAAAACGAGAAACACTTAAGAACCACATCAACAAACGACAACCACTGAAACAGGTTCCTGACTTAGGACAAGTGCAAACAAAACGTTTTAACAGGCTTTAAGACGTTTCCATTTTTTTGGTTCAGACTTTCTATTTAAAATATCAAATTGCACAAACTTAAATCGATTTAAAATATTCGATAACTTGACCTCTTTCTTGGTTGAAATCTTAAGGTTACAGGGATCAAGTACATGTATCTTTTTGTAAACTAAACTCAGTAATTGTCTAACTAAAGATTAATATATTTTACATAGATACAGTTTAGTATAAACAAAAAGAACTTTTGTTATTTTAATATTTTTGTATAAAGTAGCCATGATTTGCCGCAGGACATAAATAAATAAAATGCTCAGCAGGGCGCAGTTACGACCTCAGAGGTTTAACCCTGAATAGTTGGGACAAGTATAGACACAACATTCAAGCTAATATGCTCTGAACTTGGATTGTGATTAAATATTCGACACAGCATAGGTTTCACACACAGGATGAATGTGGTCTAAGAACTTACAAATTTGAAATTCGACATTTACCTAATAATGTCCAATATCCAAAATCTGAATACATGGTTAGATTCAGCATATCAAAGAATCCCAAGTATTCAATTTTTGATAAAATCAAACAAAGTTTAATTGGGGACCCTTATATTAGGACCTCAATGTGGACCTCATTTTTGATCAATTTGATAACGGGCCCAAAATTCAAAATCTTTATACACGGTAAGATTCAGTATATAAAAGAACCCCATATATTCATTTTTTGTTGTTGAAATCAAACAAAGTTTAATTTTGGACCTTTAATTTGGACCAACTTGAAAACTGGGCCCAAAATCAAAAATCTAAAAATATGTTTAGATTTAGCACATCTAAGAACCCCTTGAATTCAAGTTTTGTTTAAATAAGACTAAGTTTCATTTTTGCATTTTAAAATTGACCCTTTGGATACTTAAAGTGTTCCATTTTGAAAACGGGGCCCAAAATTAAAAATCAAATTACACGGTTAGATTCGGCATATAAAAGAACCAAAATAATTTAATTTTTGATGAAATCAAATCATGTTTAATTTTTACCCTTTGGACCTCAATGTGGACCAATGTAAAAACGGGCCAAAAATCCAGAATCTAAAAACACGGTTAGATTCAGCATATTAAAGAACCCCAAAAACTCAAGACTTTGATATTAGACCCCATTGAAGTTGATCGAGAATAAGCAATGTATACAAAGTATTAGAAAAGTATTGTTTTGTCCCCCTTTTGGCTACTAATTCCTAAACGGTTAGGACGATAACCCCAAAGATTAATCCCAACCTTCCTTTTGTGATATAAAACCTTTTGGTACAATTTCATAGAGATCCATAGACTTATACTCTATTATTGTTATTGTCCAGAAAACAGCAAATCCTTGTTTTTGGCCCCTAATTCCTAAACGGTTTGGGTCATAACCCCCAAAACCAATCCCAACCTTCCTTTTGAGGTATGGAACCTTGTGGTACAATTTCATAGAGAACCATACACTAATACTCAAGTTATTGTCTGGAAAACAATGTCTAAAAGATTATCCAAAGAATTTTCCTGATGCATATTTTGTCCTAGCTTTCTCGATCTTTGCGTTGAACATTTGTATAGTTCAAATATGGACGTGGTCGATTATGATCCGGAACCCTTAAAACATCGCACAGATTTTGCTTTATTGAATGTTGATTAAACTTGTCTGTAACATGTACCTAAGTTTCTTTATCTTATTGTTAAATTTAGAATGATTACTATCTAAATGAAAAATACATTTGTTTGCAAGAAAAATTTCTAGTAAAGTAAAAGTACATACCAAATATTTGATAATCGTGTGTTTTCTACATTATTCAGCAATGGCGTCTCATGTTGTACCTCAGAATGGAAAAGTATACAGACTTCTTGCACAAGATGATAATCCTGAGAATGGATTAATAACTAATGCCTATTATATGAAGGAACCGTCGACGGTAACAGCTGCTTATCATGTTGCCTGGGGGAGTAGTAATAGGAGACAGGATTCAAAATATATTTCGGCCTGTCTAAACTATAATGACGCCTTGAGATTCTCACAGAAAAATCAATTCTTAAATGGCCACATTGTAAGCATTGATACAGATCAGTTGAATGTTCTACATGTATATGATGCAAATGTGAGGCAGCGGCTAAATGCAGAACAAAACGAAGTAAATCCGGAAACTATTTCTAAGTTCGACTCATTTGCCAAAGAAAGAAATGAAGTGCTAATAGTTGGTCCTGTTCCAGCCAATTTTGTGACGATTATAACAAAGAGACAAGATCTTCCTAATCGCAATGGAAATGTACCGCGCCACTAATTGTATCGCCTTATACATTCACAACACATTGAATGATGAAAACCAGCTGAACTGTTCAACTTATCCTTTCATTAATTGTTTAAAAAATGTATTTGTTTTTTACACGGCATTAAAATTGAGGTCATGATACTTTTAAAGAGTCATCCAAGTTTTCACTTATGTTGGCTACTTTCATTTTAACATGGTAATTGGTTAAATGGTGCGTTCGTATTCATATTCTAGAAATGTAAATTCTGTTTTTGAATTAAATGAGATTTGGGATATACGTCAACGAGAAACGAATTATTCTTCGTGTGCTACAAGGCGATGCTGTGGACCCCGGTTAGTGTCAGGGTGTAGTTCAATTCTAAGTCTTTTTCATGACTTTGCTGTACTCGTTATCACAACTTATTAACTCGTTATAACAACTTATGAATTCGTTATAACAACTTATTAACTCGTTACAACGAATTAACCTACTCGTTATAACTAGTTACTTAGTCGTTACAATGAATTATTTAGTCGTGATAACTAGTTACCTAAGTCATGATGACGACTTAACTGAGTTAACTACAGCTTCCGTGATAATGATTGATAATGACCACAAATCAATAACAAAATGTTGAAAGGAAAAATTTAACATTTTCTCACATACAATCATTCTCAATAATTTAAATTGTAATAGCAAGAAACTTAATCACGGGACACAATCCATGGCAACACAAAAAACAAACAAATAATCGGTTTCAAAACAAGTAATTCGCTGTAGTTGTTTCTTTTGGTTGCCATTTCTCTCATTGGCAATCATACCACATTCTTACTTTTCTATATAAGGTAGCACAACAGTCTAATATATGAAAAGAGTTGTCTTATTTTAAAAAAACTACAACATTTGAGTTCAGAAATATTAAGACAAATGAAGTACCATATACTAAAATAGAACAAATATCATCTCCAAAAGAGTTTAGATCTTTGTCTTAAACATCTACATGATTGTTTTGTAACTGCAACAGCTCTCCATTTTCAAACTGGTTACAAGAACTTGCTAAGTCTACTTCATATTAGGCGTTATGGACGTTTTGTGCTTTCTCTGTCGTTTGTGTGGTTGTTATTTTTTTGTGTGTGTATGTTTTCCCTGCCACATTTCTAATGGGGATGCAAACTTGTTTGTATTAGTAAGTCCTGTCATGTTACATTAGCATTGTTTGCATATTCCGATTGTTTTCTTGCAGAACAGAATCGTTTTACTGTTTTACATTTCTATTTCATTTGATTGCTACGAATAGAGCAGCAAGGATTTTTCTTCTTCGAAACCTTATACAGTCTCCATTAAAAAGGGTCAGTTATCATGAAACCACCTAAATTTGCCCATTGTCCTTTTAATGTAAGATATAGAAAAGAAACATGGTGAATTAAATTGAGATCACTCTAGTAGGTGTGCTGTGAATTATTCGGAACAATGGTGATTGTTCCTTCTTGTTGTTTGCAGTACTGTACGATTGATACAAATATGGCATAAAATATCCATTGGATATATAGAGAGAAATTTGATATTGATTCAGACATAACAATCGCAAAATCGCCATTAACAAAGTAGCATTGCTTCTCTTAAAAACACTGTAATATATGTCAAACATTTATATGACTTAAGTGTACATAATGAAGGTGAATACGGATAACTAATCACATTCCTTTAATTTTGATTGATTGATTGGTGGTTTTGACGCCATTTTCAGATATGCTTACCCTTCTCAGAATCACATCCGGTTTTTAGAGTGGTTCGTGTTGCTCAGTCTTTAATTTTCTACGTTGTGTCTTGTATACTGTTGTTTGTCTTTTGGTCTTTTTCTATTTTCGCCATGGCGTTGTCAGCTTGTTTTCAACTTGTGATAGAATTGAGAATGGAAACGGGAAAAGTGTCAAAGAGACAACAACCCCACCAAAGAGCAGAAAACAACCATAGGCCACCAATGGGTCTTCAACGCAAAGAGAAAATCCCACACTCGGGAGGCGGGCTTCAGCTTGCCCCTAAACAATAATGTTTACTAGTTCAGCGAAATTGACGCCACACTTAACTCCGAAACATATAAATGAACTAAAATTAAAAAAACACACAAAACCATCGAAGGATAGAGGTTCCTGATTTGGGGCAGACGCATAAATGCGGTGAGGTTAAACATGTTTTGTGAGATCTCACCCCTCCCCTAAACCTCTTACCAATGTGAAATGAACAAACACAGCAATACGCACAGTAAAAATCAGTTTAAAAGAAGTCCGAGTCCGATGTTAGAATAGGTAACAGAAGAAACAAAGCAAAATGACAATGATCAACAAAGAACTACTATTAGTACTAGCAGCTACTAAAGGAACATTCAAACTCAAGTCGGCATGTCTTGTCTTGTCTTGTCTTGTGTGAAGATCCTGCCTTTCAAAGGCACACCTCTGGTTACAGAGTAGGATATGGTGTATTTAACACCCACTAAATGTTTATTACACTATTAAAATCTAAAACAAAAGATAATTTAGATTTTAAATATTCACGCCTTTGACTGAGTGGTTGCAAGCAATCCTTTCTTTTTATTCACCGGCAATGTACATAATGAAGGTAAATACGGATAACTTATCACATTCCTTTAATTTTGATTGATTGATTGGTGGTTTTGACGCCATTTTCAGATCTGCTTACCCTTCTTAGAAGCAAATCCGGTTTTTAGAGTCCTGAGAAGGGTAAGCAGATCTGAAAATGGCGTCAAAACCACCACAATGCAACTAGAAATGGGTTAATGGTTTAAGTATTCATGAGTGTTTTCATGATAATAATCAGTCTTAAGTCTCTAGTTGTAAATTCTTTGACCACTACTACCATCTGCCCGTTGCTGAATTAAAATTTCTGTAGACCTGCTCTAACTCTTTGGTCCACATTGAATGAAAATATTACATTATCTGGTCCCTGTCCATATTATACAGCAGTTGTCATTCATTATTCTTTATTCTCTTTCTTCTACAAAATTATATTGAATAGTTTTAAAACATTGACTGATTTTATACAATATATAATAGCTTTATAACTTTCAAGATATTAAATAGCTTTATAACATAGATTGTAATTTCACGATATTAAATAGCTTTATAACATAGATTGTAATTTCACGATATCAAATAGCTTTATAACATAGATCTTTATAACATAGATTGTAATTTCATGATATTTAATAGCTTTATAACATAGATTGTAATTTCATGATATTAAATAGCTTTATAACATAGATTGTAATTTCACGATATTAAATAGCTTTATAACATAGATTGTAATTTCACGATATTAAATAGCTTTATAACATAGATCTTTATAACATAGATTGTAATTTCATGATATTTAATAGCTTTATAACATAGATTGTAATTTCACGATATTAAATAGCTTTATAACATAGATTGTAATTTCACGATATTAAATAGCTTTATAACATAGATTGTAATTTCACGATATTAAATAGCTTTATAACATAGATTGTAATTTCACGATATTAAATAGCTTTATAACATAGATTGTAATTTCACGATATTAAATAGCTTTATAACATAGATCTTTATAACATAGATTGTAATTTCATGATATTTAATAGCTTTATAACATAGATTGTAATTTCATGATATTAAATAGCTTTAAAACATAGATTGTAATTTCATGATATTTAATAGCTTTATAACATAGATTGTAATTTCATGATATTTAATAGCTTTATAACATAGATTGTAATTTCATGATATTTAATAGCTTTATAACATAGATTGTAATTTCATGATATTAAATAGCTTTATAACATAGATTGTAATTTCATGATATTAAATAGCTTTATAACATAGATTGTAATTTCATGATATTAAATAGCTTCATAACATAGATTGTAATTTCATGATATTAAATAGCTTTATAACATAGATTGTAATTTCATGATATTAAACAGCCTTAAATGATTAACTGTATGTATAGAATATCTAGAAAAATGTAGTGACATTTAATTTCATAGTCTTGTCTTTAGTTTTATAAGATGTCCAACTATTTGTAACAAGGATTACTATAATAATCATGTGGCTATTATCGACCATTGTGAACACAAGTTAATGAACTGGTCACAACGCACGACTGGAGTATGAAAAATGACCCATGATTTTTTTGGAAAATTTTGCTTAAGCAGCCCACTGTAATTCCAAAACGTTTGATGAGTTGTACATACTTATCATAATATTCTATTTGATGAGAAATTCTGTGTTTGCTAGTAGAAATCAAACAATGTTCTGGCCAGACTGTTGTATACATGTAGACTGGGGGATTCCCCGATCATTTTTGTATAGATGTGATAATAGACAAGAACTATGTTTTGAATGTTGCGAGTTTCCTACTTATAGATACATACCTTTATGTGGACTGTCTTGTGAACGTTCAGAGTCCGTGACTGACAAAATCCTTTACCACAAACTAAACATTTGAACGGTTTCTCTTTGGCGTGAATGTATCTAAAGAAAATATATAACTTGTAGATTTTAATTTACGGATCATGATTGAACTAATATATCATAAACGCTGGAACACTCGCGGATCATGATTGAACTAATATATAATATTATAAACACAGAAACACTCACGCATCATGCTTGAACTAATATATGATAAACGCTGAAACACTCACAGATCATGATTGAACTCTTACTTGATAAATGCTGAAACACTCACAGACCATGCTTGAACTCTTACTTGATAAACGCTGAAACACTCACAGACCATGCTTGAACTCTTACTTGATAAACGCTGAAACACTCACAGACCATGCTTGAACTCTTACTTGATAAACGCTGAAACACTCACAGACCATGCTTGAACTCTTACTTGATAAATGTTGAAACACTCACAGACCATGCTTGAACTCTTACTTGATAAACGCTGAAACATTCACAGACCATGCTTGAACTCTTACTTGATAAATGCTGAAACACTCACAGACCATGCTTTAAATCTTACTTGATAAATGCTGAAACACTCACAGACCATGCTTGAACTCTTACTTGATAAATGCTGAAACACTCACAGACCATGCTTGAACTCTTACTTGATAAATGCTGAAACACTCACAGACCATGCTTGAACTCTTACTTGATAAACGCTGAAACACTCACAGACCATGCTTGAACTCTTACTTGATAAATGCTGAAACACTCACAGATCATGCATGAACTCTTACTTGATAAATGCTGAAACACTTACAGACCTTGCTTAAATTAATACTTGATGATAATTCTACAGTATATTAAGTTGATTAAATTATCCTGCAACTTTTAAATCGTTCTTTTTTTTTTGTGTATAGATTAAAGCAATTTGCTGGAACACTCGCGATTATTGATTAAACAATATCTTGATAAGCAGGAACACTCGGTGATCATTATTAAATAAATACTAGATTAAGAAGTTGATGAAATTATTAATTCGGACTACAAAACCAATATTAAGAATTTGCTCGATTTCCTCCTCTATGTAAAATAAATCTATTTCTTTCATACATTCAAACGACGGGTCTAGTTAACCACAACCACACGAATTGAGCATTGCATAAAATTCCAGGAAGGGGTCTATAAAATTAAAGTTTTTGTGGTGATGATTATCAATTCATGTTACGTATTACGGAATGTTAGTTTAAAGGTCAAATGAAGTTATTTGTCTAATAGGACACCAAAAACATGTGTTGTGTAATGTGGTTTTCACGAAAATATTGGCATGGTGTTATATGCCTGTTACAATTCTTACCTATGATCACGAAGATGATCTTGCCGCCGGAACCGTTTATTACATACTGTACATGAAAAGGGACGTTCATCTGTGTGGGTACGAATGTGTATCAGTAGATTGTACGACTTTGTGAAATTGCGTCCACAGTACTCACATACAAACTCTCTTTTTTCTCTACTGCAAGAAAAGATGTGTATCTATTCAATTTATGAAATTTCTATAAACCGGGTTGGCCCCAAGAATGATTTTACAATTGTTATCCTGTTCTAATTTACAGTAAACTGAAATGCATTCAAAATATTTTTTTTCAATTTTAAAAGACGCTAAAAAAAACTTGCATCAGCTCATATTGATCGCCCATACCAAAATTTACAAACCGGCTTTCTTCCGGGATATTTTCTATTTGTTTACCTCGCAACATCTCAAAATCTCCATGTTGGATTTTAAGCATTAGTGGGCCTCGTATATCACTAATCATATATCGTTTATAAGTGTTTTAAATCTAACGAACTATATATGCCTTTGAATGGGTATATATACATGTGCTTAAATGTCATTTAATAATTCGAATGTCTGCTTTTATGTATTTAGCTTATAAAATGGAGAATGTCAAATCCAGAAATGCGCTTCGGACGTATCAAATTTAAAAAGTGTCATTTTGATTTTTAACACTTTTTTTAAAGTTTCCGTACATCGGGAAAATTGACAAGTCTGTATTTCATAGTTTTGTTCACTTTTCCACCTTAACACGTTCATGGCTGATTCTAGTATTTGTGCTCTTTATCCGCAACATGATAGTTTGGCGGAACGGGATATTATATTATATATAGCCGGTAATCGCCTACTTACATATATATAAAAAAATCGAGATCCCCTGTGAACATCGCTTAATTACACAACCATGTACTTATTCATTCATATTCTGATCGATCAAGACCTTATAGCAACGTAAACAAAAATTTAAATAATTAGATGTATATAAAGCGGCATAACTCAAAATACTTTCCAGAGCAAGGCGTCTGTAATAGTTTGCAAATAAATAAATAGGATTTTAAAAAATCAAAAAAAAGAAGACAACTGTAGAAAATATTTTTTTTTGCTGTTTTTCATCGTTTTTTGGTTGTTTTGTGGGCTGTCATTAATAATATTTTAAGTACTTGAAATAGTATAACATATTAATACGACAACTCCAGGGTGATATTTAATAACATAAGCCGAACGTTGTATTTTTATTTATATAAAATTACTTCTTACTGTACTAAACTGCTTTAATACTTTATCGTTCTGTTACGGGACTTGCTCAGGATTTGTTAAAAAAAAATACTAAGTATCCATTTAACGAACAAAACTTTGAAAACTGACTATAATGTTTTATTTTTATTTTTTTCTGCTACATAAATCAATATTTTTTATATTGATGTAGTTAAGCATTACCTGGTTTTTACTGAACATATCCTCTTCCGACATGGCTTCGTTTTGTAGTTTATTAATTCTTCTGCTTTGTCTGACAACTGTATCACAGAGTTAAGACTAAGAAAATAAATGTAATAATTTCAATTTCACTTTATATACTTCTTCACAAAATCTTACTATGTCATAAAGGTGTCACTTTATGTCGTGTATGCCATTTCCCCGACTTTTATACAAGCATCAATCCATATTGTACAAGTCTGTGCAGTCAAATTGTGTAGGTATAAATGTGCATATTTACAATCTTAGTAACATACAATAGGGTTTAAATGAGGGGTCCTTTAATTCTGGGTTTTTACAGCCATATTCTCTATTCTTTATACATTTTGCCTATTATTCTCTCTTTTTTATATTTTTAACACCCCATTTTTCTCTATTCTTTAATTTGTTTACCTATTTTTCTGTAGCAGCAATCAAATTACAACTGGCCCATTATTCTCTATTCTGTAAACAACATTCAGACCATGATACAGCACAGAACGTACACTTCTATGTTTGCCTTGAATTCGTTTGTTCAATAGTATATAACCAGTGTTAAGTTATATATCATTCATATATTATTTACTACTAATTGTCGTTTTGTGTTTATCTATTTTTATTTTTATTTTATCATTTTGCTACAAGTTTGTACCTGTTTTCAGTGTTATTCATTGTGGCATGGCTAACTACAATGGCGTCTTTCGTTGGGTCCCCGATGTGACCACGTGTGGCAGATATGGCAAGATTCGAAAAGTCAAATCGAAGTTCTCTGCTTTTTATTTCTGGAATAAAATATCAAATATAATTCTAACTGGTTTTCAAAATAGCCTTCTGTAAGGTTTTTTTTTTAAATCACGGCAATACCGAAACATTCGATACTCTCGAAGACTGGCAGCCCTCCAGCAGCATCGAACCTATTGTAGTTAAAAAAAAATTTGATTTATAGATTTAGCGGACACGACACGTATTTCTCGAAAAGACTATAGCGTTTGGATATTTTGTCTGTTATGTATGTATATATATATATATATAAGTCTAGAGATTTGCACAACGATACTAATATAAGATGGTATTATACGAAGATGTTGTTAATAAATCGTGTTGACAAATATTTCGGCTTAACAAATAGCCTTCTTCGGTGTCAATTATTTTAACAATACTGATAATATGTATAAAAATAGCTCAATAATACAGGTAAGTTTTGGTCTATTGATTTAATCCAAAATCCTGAACATCATAATATAAAACAAAACTCAATACTCAAATATACGTGACTGTGTATATTTACAACCCAAAATGAGTGAAAAATAAAACTTAGTATTTTTTATTGATGCCGTTTGGATGATGCACATTTAGTTCCTTTATCCAAAAGCTTTCCCGAACCTGTCGCTGGGCATCACTCCAGTGAATGTTCTGTTCAATCACTAGGATCTTCATGCGGTTAAAGTCATCAAGTGTGTGACCAGACTGTCTGAAATGCTGAGAAACTGGGAGAAGTGGCTTCTTAGAGATATCACTCCTATGGCCATTGAGGCGTTTGTGGAAAGGCTGCTTTGACTCACCAACATATTGGAGGCCACAAACCGAACATTCTAGAATGTAAATAACATTCATACTTTTGCAGTTAACATTGCAAAATATCTTATAGTTATTTTCGGTTGCCTTACTGTGAAAAGTTGATGAGTGATGCATCTGTAGGCAGCATTTGCAGCGTTTTTCATCACACGAACGACATTCTCCAGAAGTACTTCTATTATCAGACACTTCAGCCCGCACCAGCAGGTTACGCAGACTATTGGGTTGCCTAAAAGCTATCATGGGAGGCTCGGGAAAAATCTTGGATAGTTTGGAATTCTTTTCAACTGTTTTCCAATGCTCACGAATGACACCGAAGCTGTTTTTGAGAGATGGGTGGTAAGTAAGAACACATGGAGTCCTTTTATTTTTCTTTTTATATTTGTATTCTAACAGTTTACTCCTTGGGATAGTTTCCGCTTTCTGAAAGCCTTTTTGGATAGTTTTGTGTTTGTAGCCCCTTCTCTTCAAGCGGGTTTCGAGTTGACGTAGTTGTTTTTTAGTTGTTTCTGAGTTGGAACATATTCGCTTGACTCCGAGTGCCTGACTGTACGGGATGCTCTTAGTACAATGAGCAGGATGGCAACTTTTAGGGGACAGATATTGGTGAGTGTCAGTAGGCTTAGAATATAGATCAGTGGATATGATGCCATCTGTGAGCGAGCTGGAGGTATCGAGGAAGGTGATTTTGGATTTAGATTTCTCATGAGTAAATTTGATACTTGGATGTATGTTGTTGGCATGAGTGATGAATGTATCTAAATCCTCGTCACTTTTATTCCATTTCATATCCACATCATCTATAAATCTAAACCAGGAAAGCGGTTTTTCGATGGAAGATTCAAGGAGTTGTTTTTCTAATTTGCCCATAAATATGTTGGCATATGATGGAGCCATTTTGGTGCCCATAGCAGTTCCATTAACTTGCAGATAATGGTCTCCATCAAAAGTGAAGTTGTTGTTTTTGAGTACCAGCGTGAGCATTTTGACCAGGCATTCAGTAGGTGGATATTTCACTGGTCGGGAATTCCAAACTTCTTTACATGCATCAATGCCATCTGCATGTGGAATATTCGTGTAGAGGGAGGTGACGTCCATAGAGACAAGTGTCGTGTCGGAGGGGAGTGGATTTAAGGCCTGCAATTTTCTAAGATAATCGGTAGTATCTTTGATGTGAGATGGTAAGTCCTCAACATGTTGACGAAGATGGAAGTCAACGAATTCCGATATTTTTTCCGTCGGATGACCGTTCGCTGAAACTATAGGTCTTCCTGGGTTATTGGCCTTATGAATTTTAGGTAAAAGATAAAATCTGCCCGGTTTTGGATTTTCTGGTTTCAAATATTCTAGAGTCTTTTCATCGATGAAACCATCGTTGTGCATTTCTACCAAACTATCAGTTATTTCTCTGCTAAAAGATGTTGTAGGATCAGAGTCTAGTTTTTGGTAGAACCTTGCATCGCCAAGTTGTCGTTCAGCCTCTTGAATATAGGCAGATTTATCCATGACAACCACTGCACTGCCTTTGTCTGCAGGTTTAATGACGATATTGTCGTTAGATCGTAAGTTTTTCAGGTCAGTTCGTTCTTCATTGGTAAGATTGTCAAAAGGTTTATTGTTATTTCTTGTATTTCTAATAATGTCCGACTTAGAATTGTCAATAAATGATTCCAAGGTGGCATTTTTGCTCGGTTTAGGGATCCAAGTACTCTTTTTTATAAATTTGTAGTTGTTTTCGTCTTCTGAAATTTCTGAGTCGCTTTCCGAGCATCTGTTGTTGTTCTCCTTCGACGCGAAATATTCCTTAATGCGTAGACTTCTGGCAAAATTGTCAAGGTCTTCCGACAATTTAGTTTCATTGACAGGGGCAGGTAAAGGACAGAAATTTAAGCCTCTCGAGAGAAGAGATGTTTCAGCTTCCGTTAACTGGTGTTTGGAAAGATTGACCACAATGTTGGAGGGCGAATCAGTCTCTAGTGACCTACGTTTAAAGCGCCTTACTCGTTTTCTCTTTTTTTCAGATGGTAAAGAAGGATTGATATGTTCGATGCCATCCTTACGGAATTTTCTTTTCTGCCTTTCACTCAAATTTTGAGATTGTATGGTTGTTATGTCTTTAAGGCGAGCACTGATAGCATCACAATTGTCAGATGTGAGATCTTTTTTGCAGCTATTTGAAAGGGTGTTAAATTCGCCAGTAAGAGTTTTCAGATATTCTTCGCAGTGTTGTTTGAGGAGGACCATTAACCGCTTGGAACAATGGTAGAGGGTTTGATCCCATTTGCGAAGTAATGTGTTGGATAAATTGCCAGGTGTTTGTGGCATAAGCTTGATTTGTAGTCCGTTAGGAATACTTTCATTATACACATAATGGGTTAAATTAGATAAGTGGTGTTCAGTTCTAATTTGTTTTTGTTTAATAGCTCTAAGTTGTTTAAAATAATCATTGATGTTCATGATATAAGAGCTGAAAACTTAAATTCACTGGGATTATGTGAATAACATAATACAGGTCATTCAGAGGAAAATAATATAGAAGTCTATAAAAAGGACCAACCAGCAAATTTACTATGTACCGGATCGTCTAGAAAATGCACAGTATCGTCTATTCTAGACGATCCGGTACATAGTAAATTTGCTGGTTGGTCCTTTTTATAGACTTCTATATATATATATATATATATATATATATATGATCGTGACTGAAAATATTTAAGAAAATAATGTATCTTACGTTTAGGAGCAAAAACATCAGCACGAACTAACCGTAACACTCAAGACACGTTATAAAACAAGGTGTCTGACGGACTATGGTGTACTGTTACAACACTGCCCCAGGTTAGGGGAAGAGTTGGCGCGCCTTCAAACTAGTTTAACCTCGCCAAATTCTGTATGTGCCTGCCCCAAGTCAGGAGCCTGTAATTCAGTGGTTATCGTTTGTTGTTGTAAATCATATTTGTTTTTCGTTCAATATTTTGTACATAAATCAGGCCGTTAGTTTTCTTGTTTGAATTGCTTTACATTTGTCATTTCGGGGCCTTTTATAGCTGACTATGCGGTATGGGTTTAACTCATTGTTGAAGGCTGTACAGTGACCAATAGTCGTTATTTTCTGTGTCATTTGGTCTCTGGTGGAGAGTTGCCTCATTGGCAATTATACCAGATCTTCTTATTTATATATATATCATTTAGTACAAGTATTTCTAAATAGTTGAATTTTTGCCAGTAAACTGTATCATTTAAACCATGTCAGTACAGAAATTATGATTAATATTGATTACTAAAAAAAATCGGAAACTATTCGACGGAAAACCAACAACATATATAGAGTCAAGTGTTCAAAAAACATGTTTAACCCCGCCATATTCTTTATGCGCCTGTTTAAAGTCCGGAGCCCGTAGTTCAGTGGTTGTCGTTGGTTCATGTCTGTCATATTTTTTTTTCGTAAATTGTTTTGTTATAAATTAGGCCGTTAGTTTTCTCAGTTGAATTGTTTCATATTTTTCATGTCGGGGCCTCTTATACGGTATGGGTTTTTTCATTGTTGAAGGCCGTACGGTTGCATATAATTAATTACATCCACTTCATTAGAACTTTGGTGAATAGTTGTCTCATTGGCAATCATACCACATCTCCTATTATAAAGTACTCAGATAATAATCATTAAAAAAAAGAAATCTCGCTTAGTTAATACAGTTACTTTCTAAATGTTTTCTATTTACCTGTATGGTCAGGTAAACATATGTCTAGATTACTGCCAGATTCCAGATTTGTCTGGTTTGATTTACTGCATGAGAAATATTTGATGAGTGACTGCAAAGGGAAGTAATTGCTGTCATCTCTGATGCATTCACGTGACTGTAAATGTGTGACTCTTAGGTGATACATGTACATGTGCATCTTCATCGTAGGGCACATGTACGTTGGGTCCGTCATTATTTTTTGCTATAATCTGTAAGAAAAAGCAGTTCTTTAGTTTGATCCGTTATATGTTTAATCTATAAGAAAATCCTTCCGCTGTGCCAAAATGCATTTTTTTTTAAATATATATATTTATTCAACGTGATTTCCAACGAAATAACAACATTGCAATTAAATGTAACACTTTTCATTATTTGGTTGACTGTTAAGAAATATCTGTGTCCTAAATGTCCATGCATATATTCCATTTGTCGTAAAACCATACTAACGTCCGACTTCACCGAATTCGGTTTCTCATCAAATGTTTTTTATCATTTAGCAACATGACGGTGCCACTATTGGCGGGAATCTTGACGGGCTTTAACATGTTGCTGAAGCTCTTGTCTTCTATGTGTTTGTGGACAGTTGGTTTTCTCCACTTTTGGCTTTTTTTCTCTTGCCATGATTTTGCCCGTCAGTTCTTTTGATTTATGATGTATGATTACAATCTGTGTATCTTCTTTTTTTATACATGGCAATACTAAAGAAATATATAAGTAATCGCGCAAAGCGCTCTAAATGATTTTTTTACAAATCAAGCGCTGCATGCGGGATTTTCTAAATATAATCTGCCTGATTCACTGACATCGTGTAGGGACAGAACTACGCTCTGTATGTTAAAGGACCCTTGCAACAACCCTTAAGGGATCCATAAGTGGTATGTTAACTTACAAAACAGAATGTTTGCCCCTATCGGACATACATGCGCATGCGCTCTTTTCTCAGTAACGATCCAAATTTCCCGTTCTTAAGTCCAAGCTGATCAACTTTTCCCATCCAGGTTTCTATGGGATTTATTGTTTATTTGTTATTGTCTTGAATATGCAAGAAATAAATGCCACTGGACGTTGAACAAATGATGATTAAAATAACACTAAAAATGAACTGGTTGCATTGTATATCGTGTGAATACTGTCGGATTATGGTTATTTCAATGGTTCGCGCTATGACAACCAAAAGGTTTATACATGTATAATCCAGTTTTATGAAATTATGCTTATGAATTCCTAAAGGTGCAAAATAGTTCTGTTAGAGTTAATGAACATTTAATTTTTATCTGGACATATTTTTATTTTTTTTTTAATTGTAAGAAATAACGTTTTTTGACACAGTTTATTGATTATGAACTTATGTTAAATATGTCAGTGAAAATCCGATCGAGTTTGCACATCAATAAACTCTTTCAAATTAACTTGTATTTTGCTATAGAAAATTCCTTTATTGCATGAAAGCTCAAAACGGACGGATTGTAAATTAATTGTCAATGTTTATATACCCTACTACCGTATCATCGCAATTGACAATGTACAACCATTAAATTAAAATAACATAAATAAGAAAATAATTTATGACAATTTAGTCAAGTGCATTGCTCCATAAAATTAGCCACAGATTAGGTGGTAGCTTTCCGATGTACATTTCAAAGCGATATGAAACTGATTAATTTGTCAAAATCAACATAAAGATAACGAATTTATCAAGCAATATAGCACAGAACACACATCAGAGACATTAAAGGTTGAAATAAAACCCGAATTTAATTGTTGCTGATGTGTAAATTAAGTGTTTGTAGGAGTCTGGATAATTTTTAACTTGGGTCACATTTAACCCACACAGCAGAAGATACTTCAACCCAAATATCAAGTAACTTACATTTTCATGTTTAAAAAAACATCATTCAATGGGTTTTTTTACAAGCGGGCCACTGCATTTCTTTTGAGTTTGTTTGTGTCGTTGGGTTCCTGTCTCATTAACATGCATCTTTAAAAAATTTATTGTGTATAGTGTATAAAATTTTGAGTAGTAATTCTTTAAAGTAAAACTTGTCCAATCTGATATCAAACTCGTGTGGTGCACCTAGCGTGGCTATACTAGCTAAGGTTACATACTACATAGTATATACATTTAAAAAATAAAAAAAATATGTTGGATATTATAGGTCAATTATAGGCAAAGAACCAGGCAACCTTATAAAATGAAACTAACCTCATCAAAGATACTATACTAATAATGTACGACAGAAGCTCGTTTCGTCTAAACAAAACTCATCAGTGACGTTCGAATAAAAAAAATTAAAAAGACCAAATAAATAATGGGAGTATTTTTTTGTATTATTAATATGGGTCAAGCAAACACAAATACAAACATATATAATACAGATAGTGAAGAATTACAAATATAAACATAAAAAAAACATAGTTATAAATGGTAATGTAACCTTTGATGGACATGGACCTCATTTTCGCAATTCTAAAGATTGCTTTATAAAGTCACCAACTTCTGTCAAAAGCTCAGATTCAGGATTTAAAGGTTGTTTTAGCTTTAAAAGTGGTTGATGATTTGTATAATCAGGTTTTATATTATTAATCTTTAAAAATAAGCAATCTCTTAAAGATGAGTTCAGTTTGCAATTTGGAAAAAAATGGTATTCATCATTAAGTTTATTACAAAGTTTACATAACCTTAGATCTCTGGGTACATTTTTATATCTTCCCATTTCAACTTCTAGGAATTAATTGTCTGGTTTTAAAATTTGATTCTTTTAATAAATAATTAAAACGAATTTGAAGAAATCAATATATTACGGTCGCATTTTTTTTTTCATATACATATCATTAGTCATATGTTTGGACATGAAATATTTTTTCTGAAATAACATCAGACAATATTCAATAGGAAATTATACATTATACTAAAATGTTTGCATTCTTTTTGTAATTTCTAGAATGGCTTCAATGATATATAGTCTTTTATTTCGTTTGAATTGTTTTACAATTGTCTTTTCGGGGCCTTTAAGTTTTATAGCTTGTTATGCGGTATGGGTTTTGCCCATTGTTGAAGGCCGTACGGTGACCCATAGTTGCTTAAATCTAAGTCATTCGGACTTTGGTTGATAGTTGTCTCACTGGCAATCGTACCACATCTCCTTGTTATATAAAGTGCTTGCTTTCTTCTTTAGGCAAGATCAAAACTGATTAAGCATCAACTTTAGAGGTTTAAATTGACCTTATTTGTGAATACAAAAGACATGATAAGTACAACTGTCTCACCTGAGTGAATCTTTGGAATTTTCCATAATCCCATTGAAAATAGAAAATCCCGAAAAATTTGAAATTTGTTGAAATAATTAATTTTTCATAATTTTTTTATTTATATGAAATTTTAATTTTTAAAACTATTATTTGCTATTGTTTTGAAGTGTCTCCATTTTGCACCCACTTACATTTTTTAATATTTAATATAACTCGATTTTGTTTACAGTAATTAAAATATAGAATCAAAATAATTGTCTTACCTTTTCACAGCAACAGGTAGCAGATGTCATTTGAGGAGCGCACTACTTATTCTGTTCTTAAGTTAAGAGGATTTTCATCCAATCAAAAGCCTTAGGCGGAGTCTAGTTCGCTGTCGGTACGGAAGCTGGTTTTCATCCCGTATCAGTAAGTTGAGGATAACAGTTCACCTTTGTGAACTATATTTTTGACAGTTGGGTTTTCCTATTGTGCCCTTCAGTTGATGGTGCTAGAACAAGAATTTAAAATATTTGCTCTATCCGTGTGAAAGTACTTAGTAGTCACATTGAAGAGAGAAGGTTGTACGCAAATTTGTAAAGCAGTATATAGATGTATTTTAATTATAGCGTACTTTGTTTAAGAAAAATACTGATCTTTAAAACTCAAGTAAAACTGGTATGATTTTTTAGGTCGAACCTAGGGTAAGACTTCAGGCTTGGACGGATAACCTATATCGCAAACATTTATGCTTCTGTTCTTATAAAAGTAAATTTAGATTATGAAAATGTTTTGTAAACCATTGGTATCTTGACATGCATTCTTTCATGACTCGCTTTACTGGTCGAAGCTAAGTGTTATAAGTTTAGTTTATAGAAATCACAGATCTTATAATTATATTGTTATAAATAAATAAAAATTGTCAATTTTTAAATATTGTCCCATCTTTCTCTCATTTTAAAGCCCAATAAAGGTCATGCATACAGTCATTTTTTTAAAATTCTACACTACTTCTGGAATATATATTTTAAGGCAATGTCAATTATTAAGTCAGACGCTTTCGATACTTTTTACTTAGTAAAAGCTAGCTTCTTGTAAAAAGTACTGCGTCAGTTAACCAGTGTACTTATTAATTTCCAATCTGTATTTGCTTATCCACATAGATATCTAGACAAGAAAGGTTTACAGTGTAGAGATAAATGATGGGCCAAACATAATATATATGAGAATATAGAAAATAGCTTAAAAATTAATGAAGACCAACCCCCCACCCCCAAATCTAGACCCTTAAATAAACGTCACGACAAAGAGCATGATCAGTCCTGATAGACGAATAACAAGAATGCCTAAAAATAGCTCAGTGGACGGACATACATTCCGAATTGCTGTCTTTGTTGTTGCAGTTTTGTTTTTAACCTTTAACGTGTAAAATTCTTTTATTTTTAAAACGACGTTCAACAGTAAAAATAAATAATTCATTTTCATGTTTACATTATAAAATTATAAAATAGCGTTGATTATATTTCAAAGTTCTGCAATGTATGTATTTTTTTTCTTATTTTTTTTTAGGGGGGGGGGGGGTTGTATTTGTTCGTGTTTTATGTATATAATATACAAATCAGTTCCATTGCTTGAAATTTCGTCTTATTACATACACATTCTTTTTTTTTTATCCCAGTCAGAATCTTACTCGAGTCTGAAGTGAGAATCCTATCTGTCGGAAGTTTTCCGTGATGTTAAATTTCTACTGAATATACATGAACAGCTACTTTATTGACCTAACACATATATATATATATATGTATATGTATGTATATATAAATATATATTGTCATTAATTGTGCCAAGTGACAACTTCCTAAATAACTACTGGATACTTAATGGTCAAGTACTTATTATTATATACAAATATAGATAAGATGCAACAC